TAAAAAATATTTAATATATTCTTAACTTATATTTTTAAGATATAAATTAAATACATTTTTACCCTCAAATAGAGGCGAGAGTTATTAAAAAATTATTAATAATTTTTTAGTAATTCTTTTCTCTGCTGAAAAATACATTTCACTTTTAATCGGAAGCAAAAATTTTGTTAGATGGCTGAATCAGCCACGAGAGGCTGCATTGGTTATGAATATTTTAAAATATTTTTGGGTTTAACGTCTAACTTGCTCTTTTGATTATTGTACGTACTCTTAAAATGGTCTTTAAATTAAAAAATTAATTTAATTTTTAAAATTTTTAAATTTAATTCTAAATTGGTTTCTTTGTTAAAAAATAATTGATTTGTTTTGATCTTTTGCCATCAATGGACACGTTCGTTATTTTGTTAATAGAGGAACCAATATGAAATTAAATTTAAAAATTTTAAAGATTAAATCAAAAATTTTTATAATTTAAAGACTAATTTAAGTCTATACATTAATTAAAGAACTAAATCAAAAATTTGACCAAATTATAATTGGCATTGATGGGCGATCGATGCAGGAAGGTTGCATCATCTAGAAGATGCTTAATTAAATTATAACGGGGTTGTCTAAATATTTGTACTCTAGGCAAGTACAAGGATTACCAATCAGCCATAAATGGTCAAAAAGAGGAAAAGGGTATTTGGAAAATGGGGGACTGTATCATATGCTTTTCAATTTTTCACGACTTTGCACTTGTACATGTGGTCCAGTAGCATCAGGTTATATATTTTTTTTTCAGGGTAATTATTCGAATTTAATTTGTTGTGAATTTGTTTAAAAAAAAAATTATACTTTAGAGTTGGGTGGTGCGCAGAATTACGATCCGGCCCCCTCCCCATCCCATATAAATACCCCAAATGGACAAAAAGAGATCTCATTAGTTTAAGAATGAGGCTCTGCTCTCAGGAAGGTGGAAGGTTTCTAGGGTGGTTGCCCCCTTCTCTGATGGATGGCGGAGCCGGTGATTTCACTGCCAGATTAATGTAATCAACAAATGGACCAAAAGAGGGAAAGGGGTTTTGGAAAATGGGGGACCGCATCCATGATTTTCAATTTTTCACATCACAATTATACTTTTGAGTTTGGTGGTGGACTTAAGATCCGGCCCCCCCATCCCATATAAACACCCCCTCCCCAAAGGCCACCCTATCCCACTTCTCGTCCTCTCCCTCCAAGCAACTTCAATGGGAGAACCCTTCACGCATGACTCCTTCAGCCTGAGCCAACCTTCTGTGGCCAAACCCACCAGCTCATCTGCGGGATGTTTTCCTTGCCGCCACTGTAAGCAGGAGTTTGCCACCCTTAAAGCTTGGGCCGGCCATCAGAAAGCTCACAGCCGCAAGCTAGACGCTGCTGCTGGGCCAAACTTTCCGGCCAACAACAAGCAGGAATACCCCCTACTTCCTCTGTTCCGCACGGCCAAACCCACCAACTCATCTCCGGGATGTTTTCCTTGCCCCCACTGTGAGCAGGAGTTTGCCACCCCTAAAGCTCGGGCCGGCCATCAAAAAGCTCACAGCCGCAAGCGAGACGCTGCTGCTGGGCCAAACTTTCCGGCCAACAACCAGCAGGAACACCCCCTTGATCCTCTGTTCTGCACTTTTCCACATCTGCAGCCGCCGCCGCACCAGCAGCACGAGGACCAGAACCTAGCTTCTAGCTCGGTCCCTCGGAGTTTACTGTGCGTTTCGACTGCTGATGCTCTCTCCACTACCACTGATGAGGATGATTCTGCCAATATGGACCTCACCCTCCGCCTGTGAAGGACTTTAGACTGAATGGTG